GAAGACTCCAGTTTACTACTGAGGACTTCAACACACTGGAAATCACAAGCTATGGTCTTGCCAAAATTGCAGCAAGCGTCTCAGATGAAGTTCAGGCATTAGGAAAGAGGTGGATAGGCACAGTTATTATAGAAGGGCAGAAACTTGTGGCCATACTCAGTATGGCGGAGATCTGATCATGTGATCTCACTTAGTAGATAGCTCCTTCCACTATACAATAGTAAACATAGATTTATATACATAATAAATTAATAAAATATCTTCATATTCTGAACCTCTCTCTACTTATTCTATAGATTATAAGCCTAGAGCCTCTTAGAGAGCTCTAGGGAATTATTTCTAAGTTCTTTCCTTAAGCTATTTTACTACTTTTTACTTTTAAAAGCCTCTTTTAGTGAATATTCTGCCTAAAATATTTATCTAGGCTAGATATTCTACCTAAGATAGAAACTATCCTTTTATTACCTTTTATTAATAGGGCCCTGCAAAAGGTTCTTATATTTAAGAATTCTTATAGGTATAGAAGCCTGGTAGTTACTCTTAAATATATCTAAAACCTTATTCCCTTAAGGGATGTATCTAAAACCTTATTCTTTTATTTAAATCTTTCTTTAAGATACCTTAAGTAGATCTTAATAAGCTACTATTACTTATAGATATAGATTCTTACTAAATATAGTCTAAAGCTATAAAGACTTACCTATATAGCTAGGGGGTCTAGTAGACTATTAATAGAACTTATAAGAAGCTAGAGCTATAAGAAGTAGGCTATTAGACTAGATTATCTAATAATATTAAGCTTTCTAAGTAGTAAGAGAGAATTAAAAAGATAATTTAAGATTAGAAAAAGATAGATAATAAGGCTTATAGTATTATTTATTCTACTCTTTCTTATACTATTAGATATAAAGTGATTAATTTAGAATTATCTAAAGCTATTTAGGATTATCTTAATACTAAATATAATATAATAGTAGATATCTAGTCTTTTAAGAGGCTGTAGATAGCTATAAATATAGTATATAATAGCTATAATAGAGTCTAAGATTATATATTAAAACTATTATAAGTACTTAATAAATTTAATTATAGTCTTAAGAAAGGTAAGTAGCTTTCTAAATCTATTAAGATCTAATTCTTACTCTATAATCTTAATAAGATATAGGAGATATTCCTTATATCTTATCTTAATAATTACTATAATAAGAAAATCACTATATTTAATAGTATTATATAGATTCTAATCTAAGAGGAGATATATATAAAGTTTAATATATTATCTATAAATATTATAAAAGTATAGAAAGGGAAGAAGCTGGCTTAAAAAAATAGTAATTCTAAGGATAAATTAAACTAATTAAATTAGTTAAATTAATCTAATTCTAATTCTAATTTAAATAACTAGAAAGATTCCAATAGCAAGGTTCCCTGGGAAACTAGGAAGAACTAGAAGTATTACTATTATAGTAAAATAGACTATAAGAAGCCTAACTACTAAGAGTTAAATCTAGATAAGAAGCCTAATAAGAAGTCTTTATCTAATTAATCTAATAATTATAATTATACTTATATAATAGGCATGGATAATAAGATACCTAATAGCTAGTATTTAACTACCTTAATACTTAAAGAAATAATACTTACCTTCTATACTATTAATAATAATAATAATAGAGTCCTTACCCCTACTAATAATAATAATTTAATTAATAATAACAGTATCCTTACCTCTAAACTAAATAAACAAGATATTAAAGATATATAGATAGTAATTATTACTATTAATCTAGCTCTGTGCCTGCATGCTAGTACTAATAACTAGATTATTAACTTAGGAGCCATTAAACACTTTATTATAATATCTATAAACTTTATAGACAGCTTAAGGAAGCTATATAAATAGGGTATTAAGATAGTAATAGGGCAGGTTATATATTCTAATTCTATTAGAGATATTATCTTATATCTTACACATCTAGGTGGATATACTAGATATATTATTATCACTAACATTCTCTACATCCCTGAAGTGGCAGTCAACCTTCTAGGCACTATTTGATTAGGCTATAAGGGTCTGGGAGTTAATCTTCTGCTAGACAGCATCATCATCACTCACTTATTGGATAAAAATCATAAAACAATCATTGGATACAGAGATATCATCCGGAATACCTACATTCTTCGCCTTATAGGAAGCAACGCCTATCTTGTGGGCTTCCAAGCTATAATTAGTTGTCTCTTTGTCTATATGTGAGGCTGAATACATTGCTATTATTTATGCTGTAAAGGAAGCCATCTAGCTTACCTATCTCCTTAAAGATATCAGCTTTAATAGTATATGCCCCATGTAGATCAACACTAACAGCCAGGCTGAGCCAGCCTACTATAGACCTGGCCTATAATGCTTAATTCCATGCTCACAGCAAGCATATTAATATTAATTATTATTAGATTAGAGATATAATAGTCAAGAAGCAGGTCTTCCTATAGTATCTTTTAATAGATAAGATAATTACAGATCTTATGATAAAGCTACTTAGTCATCTAAAGTTTAATTAATTCTTTAAGGCACTAGGCTTAGCCTAGCAGAGCACTATGAATAGCAGATCTTAACACTATGATTATAGATTAACTGCCTAATTAGGAAGTGGCTATAACCTTGTTAATTAAATCTGGGTAGAGTTGCATTTGGTGCGAGTTCGGGCGAGTTCAACCTCAGTTGGAACCGAACCATTCGGTGATCTTGGCACTGTTTTGCTTAGTAATCCGTAATTTCTAGGATTTCCCTAGATATTTTGGTATCATTAGATAGCCCCTGATTTCGGCTATCTAAATATACAAATATTAATTCAAAATACCTAGTGGTTGCTGAGATATAAGGGAATAATCATCTCTGTCATGGGTTGGTATGGAAGTGGTGGGAATATATATATATATATGACTGGCCTTTGACAACCATCATAACTTTTAAATGATTTTTAACCACCACCCATTCAGCCCTATAGATATCAAATTGATATTTTAGATTTACATTAATATAATAATAATTACCATATATTTCATATAAAAATTATGATTTTATATAAACCTATTTAGTAGGCTTAAGGCATAGGCCTAAGGTAGGAGAAATTGAATTCTAAAAACCATTGAAATTTTTAATTCTGCAGGGCCCTACCGCCCACCTAGATAGGCTAGTGACTGCCTATCTAGGCCTAGTGGCGGGTTTTGCGGTTAAACTCGCACCAACCCACTCAGGGTTGGATTCGATTTTTGCGGTTCGGTTATGCAACTCTAAATCTGGGGGTGTGTGGCCATACTTAGTATAGCAGAGATCTGATCACATAATCTTACTCAGTAGATAGCTCCTTCCACTGTATAATAGTAAACATAGATTTACATACATAACAAATTAACAAAATATCTTCATATTCTGAACCTCTCTCTGCTCATTCTACAAAACTCTTATCTAATATAGAGACTATTAAAGCAGAAATACTAGCCACCTATAAGCTAAAAAGTTAAGTCACTTTTGTTAGAAATATATAAATGCTCTTTGTACCACTAAATAAATTAAAGCTTGACTCTCTGGCTGTAAAGATAAGAAAGAGATTAACTCATGAATATAGCAAGCAGATTTAAGACTTAAAACCAGATGCTATAATTACATGGGCTGTAGTATTTGCACTAAGTATATAGGATTTAAATGTTTTATCTAGAAGTATATTTAACTATATCCTTAAATTTTTGGAGCCTGATAGGCCGGCCTACTGTTATTTTTAATATGCTGAGTATGTTAGGAGCTAAAGAGCCACTCTGGAATTCAGAGGATTTTTGAGTGTTTCTAGAGAGTGGGTTACACTTTGCATATGCTGAAACTAGGATTGACACATGCATCAGAGGTGAAAGTTAATACAGAAATTACACAATATGCACTTCAATCAGAGGTGCAACAGGCAGAGCCACAACAGCATGAACCTCCAAACCTTGACAGTTAGTGCCACAGAGCATCGCAAGTTAGGTTCAGTGTCCTTTAGACTCGAAAAAACCTGGCTCGATGGATCCCACGTTACTTTCAGAAAGCTTGGTTACGTTAATTAGCCGATATAATCCATCAGATTTATATACAAAATGGATCTACCAGGAGCATTAGTCTTCATTGTCCTGCAGTATACTAAAGAGGCGAAACCAGTGTCGCGATAATGCGTTCTTACGTTGGAGTTGTTTAGGATTTGAAAGGGTAACAAATACTTCATTAAAAGACCAAATGAATTAAAAGTTGACCACCACGTAACGGTCCAAATACCACAAGATGGGATGACGCCATGTATCTGAAGCAGTTGATGCCGGCAGTGCGAAAGCCTAGGGTACAGCTTTGGACTATAAGAGAACGTTTCTGAATCATTGTGTCCATATCCTTCTGTTTAGGTAAACTCAGACGGCAGAAATGCAGTTTCTAACGCCAAAATGACTGTTCCTATACTCATATGTACCATATGCCAAGTTGCGTTGCTCTCAGATTTCTCCTAAGAGCTCCGCTAAGCGAAGAGCGAGGAGGATATGCCACGAGGTTACTTTGGAGTCTTCTCCACATTTCAAATAAGGAGAGTAAGTGAATGACTAGACAGTAAGGCACAGCAGATGGGTCTCTCCGCGGAGTGAACAGGGTAGTCCGGGCCCCTGCACGCAGTAGAAGGAAGGCAGCGACGTGGGATCTTAAACAAGACCCTTTTTGCTTGCCATTTTTGAGTAATTCGAGACCGAATGGTGAAGCAGAACTCGGAGGCAAATCGATGTAACTTATCGATATCATGAACAAGGAGGCGAAGATACTAAAGAATCTGGAATAATCCCCATCTCTCTCGGCAATTTTCGACAGAGCCAAAGCAAAAGCATCCCCACATCGAGGGGTCCGTTGTCACCAATTGCCCGATCCAACTCCAAATCAGTTCGTTTGCTGTGCTTGGCAAGCAATCTTAAACTGGCCAATGGAATCCCCTTTATCAAAAGGTGTCATGCAAGCCCTGGACTTCGTGCAGGATACTTTGTTGCGACTGGTTGAACATGGAAACAGACTCGCCAAGTCGAATGAACTTGGCGTACTCGCACGGGCGGCCACTGGTGTCAATGACAAAGACCATGTAGTTCCCTGGCGGGGCAATATTGCCATTTGGTGGAGCCGTTGCGGTCAACATATCCGTAGCCTTTGTGAACTCGAGCCAGATGGAGCGCTGGTCTGGGTTGAATGCATGCGTAGATGATCCACATCGCATGAGGACTACGTTTTGGATGTTACCTGCTGAAGGCACCCCCAACGTAAATTGCTGGCCAAAGGCAACGAACTGAGGACAGGTTGAGATGGTTGGTCGCGGCCCCTGCGGATATGGAGGATGATAAATCTCAATTTGCTTCTGGCTTGTGGTTGCTTCTCCTTCTGGCTGATTCGGGCCGTTCCCACCCGCAGTCCATACACGTCCATCGGGCATCAGAAGCGCCGTGGAGTGGTAGTTCCGCAACAGGGTGGCGGGGTCGTTAAGTGTTTCCCAGTTGCCGACTCCTGGATTGTATGCTTTGTTGACAGGATCCAAAGGCGTATGATAGAGCTCTGGATTGTTCCCTGTCGACCTTTGGTCATCATCTGGATGGGCACCTCCGGTAAGAAGCACATGACCTGTTGGCAGAAGCGTAGCACAAGCATGAGCGCGGCTGACATTGTCCATCTGGGAGTCGCGAGGGACAGTTTGCCATCCTAGATTCTGATGGGTAAAATCATACAACTGGGAAGGCGTTTTGCCGCAAAGCAGAATGCGCGCCTGGTAACGGTCCCGCGGCACTAATGGTAAAAGAACCGATGGCAGATGATAACTCCAATAAGATTTGGTGTCGGGAGAACCGTCATCCGGGAGACTCCCCAGCGTAACAACAGCACCGGTATAAGGGTTTACCTTGATGTTGGTGTTATAGTTCGGAATTTCTGAAGAGATAAACACGTCCCCGTCGTTTAGCAAGTGGGAACGAGGATACAACAATGGGTCCCCGGAACGTGGCTCGCCGATAGCCGGAAGTTCGACCCAGCTATTAGCGAGCGGCTGATAGCCCTCAGGAGTGGAATTTGCATGACGAGTATCGTCTCCTCCTGCAGCCAATACAATAATTCGTTGTTTCTTTTGGCGGCATTTTTTCACGAACCATTCTTCTATATTGACTAATTCGATAGCCCTCTCAGGGTTACCTGACACTTCTACCGTTCCTTCCACCGACAATACTCCAAGATGGCGTTCGAACTCGAGCGCCACAAAGAGAAATTTATCCTCTGGATGCCTGCTACACCAGCTTCAAACCCGCGCCCAATTTTGTCTAAAAAGAAACAAGAAAGCAACAAGTCAGAATTTACATCGTCATAGGTAGCTTCCATGATACTGGAATTCGGTGATTATTGTGGTTATGTATAAACAGTATCAACCCTATTTTGTTTCTACTGCTAGCTTTAGTAAATAATATAGGCGTAGTGTTAAAACATCGAGCTATAATGTTGACGTAGAGGAAACGAGACTAAAGAAAGAAATGCAAGAGGGCCCGCTTCCTTGCTTGCTCTCCAGCAATTCTCCTGCTAAATCGGCCTCCAGAGATGCACTGTGAGATACGAGAAAATGTGCGGATTTCGGAATCTCGTAGTCCGTAGCTGACAACTTGCTCGCAGACTTGTGTTACACAAGGTATGTCATAAGTTGTCATTATAAGATAGTACGTATAGTTCCGTTCCACGAAGGTCCAGAAGTATTGGAATGACAGAGTCTTGGTAACCGACCAAGAACAGTGGTCAAGACCCGTCTGCATCCATGATATGGTATGACATCTTAAGTTACATGACCTCTTATGTCATTCTGAAAATTTCTCGACAGTGCGTTGTTGACTATAAATTTGGCATTAGTCTCCTCTGGTGGCCGGTTTCTGATTAGCTTGTTGGACAACATACTTGCTTCATTCCTATCATCAACCACCTCAAAGCACGCAGGCAATTTTTTGTTTCAGGGCATCGTTCAGAACGACTTAAAAAATGTGAGTCGGTGACAAAGCTGCAACGTTAAGCCTTGAACATGGTTTAAAACTGCATCTTGTAGCACGATGGTTGTCTTACCTCCTAATGAAGAGGACGAGGTTCACAATTCAAACTACATTCTATATTGGAATTATGTCGGCCTAGAGCTTAACAGGCTCACACACTCCGTAACCGTTGGCGGGCCACAGAATGGGCCGCCGATCAGCGCGCGAGCGCTTGGTATACTACATCTGGCGATCCATGACGCTTACTTTATGATCAAGCCAGGCACGGGGTTTACCACGTACTTGAATGCTGGCTTACCTGCTGCACAGCACGCGGATGATCCGAAAGCGGCAGTGGTAGGGGCTGCGATAACAGTACTGGAGAAGCTATACACGCAGCCCCGTGCCGAAGTCTCGCAAAACGCCACTGATCAACTCAGCCAGCTTCTCAAACAGTGGGTCGACGGATTTCCGGGTCTGGATATCCTTGCGCCGAGCTATCGGTTCGGTGTTTCCGTTGGCAACGCCATTCTTGATTCTCTAGATATCAAGCCCAACGAGCCTGGGGCCGATCAAGGACAATATCGACCCCAGGCTGGTAAGTTCCACTTTAGAGATGACCTGACAAATCCAGTGAAACTAGTTCCAATAAACCCAAATCAACCGGATGTGAAGAGGGCAGTACATCAATACCATGCGCCGTTCTACGGAATCACAGCCAAGCGGTTTGCGGTGCATGATGACCACATGGTGGCTGATCCTCCCGTAGAGGATGGCAAGACGTCCACCGGCGCTGAAGAAACTGAATTCTCTGATGCTTTCCAAGAAGTGATACGCCTCGGGGGAGCACCGGAGTTGTTTTCAACCTGCCGGCAACCCAAGGACACTGTGGGAGCATATTTCTGGGCCTACGACGGTGCAAACCTCATTGGTACTCCGCCGCGATTTTACAACCGTATTCTTCGAACTCTGGCATGGAATAACAGACGAGATGGTCCAACTCATGAAAACACAAACGCTGAATTCGCGCGTCTGTTTGCCCTTGCAAATGTGGCAATGGCGGATGCCAGTATCCTTTGCTGGCGAGAGAAGTATCACCATGACTTTTTGCGCCCAATTTCGGCTGTTCGTGAGGATACCAACCAGCCGATGGTAGACCTGTTCTGGCGCCCACTGGGTGCGCCCTCAACAAATACGGATAAAATCTCGTTCACACCACCGTTTCCAGCTTACCCTTCAGGGCATGCGACATTTGGTGCGGCGGCCTTCCAAATTGTGCGACTATTCTATAAGAGTATTGGTGTCACGAATTTCGAAGCGGACGGTCCTGACGACATTGCTTTCGACATCGTATTGGACGAGCTTGATGGTGTCAGTCGCGACTTACGACAGACATACGACCAAACGCAACCGATAACGAATCAGCCAGGAACGGTTCGGACATACGTCAAACGCCGGTTTGAAAGCTTATGGGAACTTATATTCGAGAACGCCATTAGTCGTGTATTGCTTGGAGTCCACTGGCGATTCGATGCATTCGCTGCAAATGACGTACTTGTATCATCCACCAGTGAACCGACCTCCAAAACAGAAAAGGAGCCATGTGAAATCCGTCACTACAAGAAAGCGTCTGATATTAAATATGTGACCTCTGGGCCACGCACCGATCAGTCTGGGAGTTTCCCCATTGGTGGTGTCCCATTGGGGCTTGAAATCGCCAATGATATTTTCCGCAACAATCTCCAGCCTACGCCAAAAGAATTGCAGCCTTCTCTCTACAGGAGTCTGGTCGATTTAGCAAGCCCGAAAACCGCTGAAAAGCACAGGGCGGGGCTATAATAGCCCTTGGAATGTGCCAGATTGCCGTGTTTGAAAGTTTGAATGTTGTTAGTACAAAAGTCCATTAGTTGCGTCGACGCACTGCACTTACAGCAAACGTCAGAACAGAGCCTCAGGGAGCTTTTATTCAAACGGTTTGATGTTCTGTAGTAGGGTGTCCCTCTGGGTGCTGTTTTTTCCCACCGGGTTTTTCTGCACCCCAAGCGTAAATGCGGGAGGAGCCTTCTACGATTCTGTTTCTGTTGTTTAACTGCGCAATTTGAGAAAGTTCCGGCCACCAATGTGTTTATTTATTGGGAGAAGGAGGAGTATCCGATCTTTAGTGGGCCTACATCGCGCTGATATCGTTAATGTATCTGAGCTTGTTTCCCCCTCTTGACCTTTCCGTAGCAGCAGGATATCCAGACCCCTTCCCCCCCAAAAAAACACCCAAGCCATTGTCTTGGATGGTACCCTAGGTTCACGGACGCAGTGACGACCCTGGTAATGTATTTTCTTAAATGCATCCATAGCTGCTTCCACATAATAGGCAATCAGCAAGTGGGGATTGTCTCGCCCGACCTCTGCGTAGCTGTCTTGCCATACCAACCCAGATGGCTATCTGATAGCCCCGCAAACGGAACATTGCCACAGAGTCGATGCTAAGTTACTGTTAGGCAATCTGTGTCGCTGTGGGCCAACGGCTAAACCAGAGGTAGATCAGCACCTAATCACCGCAAATGACTTCTTGAGAAGCCATGGAGCTTAGTTTGCATTGATAGGTACGATTTTTACATGATGATTTCGATCATGCCAGGCGACACTTATTGAGCATGAGCCCATGATGCTTGCATTGTGAATCACTGTAACAGATTGAGTATAGCTTCTGTGTCATTCTCCCTTGATTCATATTATGCTTGCAGATGGCTGCATTAAGCATACTATTTTTATTTACCTATTTTTATGCCTTAAGATGCTTGTGAAAGACTACTATAAGCATAATATATTATTAATAAAGATATATATAGACCCCCTTATCTGATAGGTTAGGAAGATAAGGATTAGTCTTATTATTAATAAATCTACTATTCTACTATACTATTCTAACTAAGTACCCTATCCTTTATTATTTCTAAGAGGCTTACCTAGTTAATAGACTTATCTACCCTATTTAGTAGATTATCCTTATAATTTCTAATTCTTCTTCTTTAACTACCTAAGCATTAATCATAATGCCTACTAATATTAATATACTAAGAGAGGTTATTCCTATATCTCTATCTTAATTATAGAAACCCCTTAATAATATATTAACTAAATAATAAGAGAATATAGATAATACACCTCCTAAGAGAAGTAAATCCTCTTCTATAGCTATAAGGTCTTACTAGATATCTAATAAAAAAATTTAATAGCTATTCTAATATATTACTATACTTAAAAAGAACTAGCAGATATAGAAGTCTATTAATAAATCTAAATATAAACTAATTATCTATTAAAATAATATCTATATCCCCTTTAAGAATAAATAAGAGGTTAAGTTTAAGAATCTCCCTACTTTTATCTTAAAGTATTCCTTCTAAAAGAGGAAAGAATAGATCTAGAATATAGAATATATATTTTAGAGAGCTCTAAAGAAGTATAGACCTAATAAATTTAAAATTATTACTATAATCTTATAAATAGAATTAACCTATAGGTAGAGATAGTATAGTAAAATTAAAGAACTATTAATAAAGGACTATTAAAATACTAAATATTTCTAGTAGTTTTTTTAAAAATAGATAATTAATTTAATCTAGGATTCTATAACTATTAAGTTAAAGATAATTATATAATTATATAATATTAATTAATACTCTAATAAAGATCTATAGAAATTTTATATCTATTTAGATATATTAGAATAGTATTTTTCTTAATATCCTAAAAAGTAATAGATACTAAACTTCTTTAGTTATCTTATAATAGAGTTATATATCTATATATAAAAGTACCTAGATATACTACCTAATACTAGAGATAAAATAGTATTATAAGTATCTAAATACTAGATCTTACTTTAATAGAGATAGAAATAAAAAAAAAAAGAATTAGGAAAACCCTAGGAAGGAAAGCCCTAAGAAGATAATCTATCTAAATATTTTTATCTTAATAATAATAATAGATTAAAATCTTAGTAAAACTAATTTAATAAAGATAGTAAATCTTTAAAGTACTATAAGTATAGAAGTAAAGAATACTTAATAAATTAATATACTAAAAAAACTACTAAAGTTTAACTACTTATAGTAAAAAATAATAAAAGGTTAGAGTAAAACTTATATCTTTAATCTTTTATCTAGAAGTAGGGATAACTTACTATTTTTATATTCTAATAAGTCTAGTAAATAGTCTTAAAATATATATAGATCTAGATAGTTATACTAAGGTTAATATTATTAATATTACTTTTATAAAGTTTTAGAAACTATAATAAATAAAATTTATAGCCTTTATTATTAAAGCTATTAATAACTTTATTACTCCTACTTATAGGATCTAGAAAGTCTCTATTATTATCTATAATTCTAGAGAGATAAAAAGAAGCTTTAAATAAGTATATATTATAATTAATTATAATTTATAACTAAAAGGAAGTCCTATTCTCCTTTCTATAACTATATTATATAATCTTTATATCTATCTTTTATTATAGAATTATTAGTAGTAATTTAAGACTCCTACTTACTTAATCCTAACTCTATATAAATTTATAAAGATATACTAGAACTATATAATAATATTTACTATTATAAAGTTACCTAAGTAAGTATAGCTTCTAAAAAAAAAAATAAAGATCTCCTAGTTTAAAGATTAAAGAATTACCTCCTAAACTATATAAATATCTTAATATCTTTTCTTTAAAGAATTCTAAGATTATACTCTCTTATTCCTCTTAAGATTATACTATTAAACTTAAATCTAATAAAATACTACTATTTAGCCCCATATACCCACTCTCTTAGACAGAGTTATAAGAATTAAGGGGTTATATTAATAAGAACCTTAATTATAGAAGAATCTAGCTATTTAAAAGTTTAGTAAGAGCTTCTATCTTATTTATTTTAAAGAAAGATAATAGACTTAGACTATATATAAATTACTAAGATTATAATAAGATAATATATAAGAATTAGTACTCCTTACCCCTTATATTAGAAATTCTTAATAGGCTATCTAGAGCTAAATATTTTAGTAAGATTAATATCTAAGATATCTATTACTATATCTATATTAAGGAAGGTAATAAATAGAAGACTATATTTTAGAGTTATTATAGTTACTATAAATATATAATTATATCTTTTAGACTTACTAATACTTCTACTACCTTCTAAAATTATATAAATATAGCTCTATATAATATCTTAGATATCTTCTATATTATATATCTAGATAATATCCTTATCTTCTTAGTAACTAGAAAGGAATATACCTACTATATTTAATAGATTTTATAAAGGTTATAAAAAATAAAGCTATATATTAAAGCTTTTAAATATATCTTTTATTAAGATTATATTAAATTTCTTAATTATATTATATCTACTAATAGCACTTTAATAGATATAACTTATATTAAAGTTATTATTAACTAGAAGGAACCCTATAGTTACTATAATATTTAAGTTTTTCTAGGATTTTATAACTTCTACTAAAAATTTATTAGGAATTACTTTCTAATAGCCTTACCCTTAACTAGCTTACTTAAGGATATAAAAGAAGGGAAGAAGCTAGGCCTAGTTAAATTTATATTTATTAAGAAGTTAGTCTTTTAATATCTTATTAATATATTCTAAATAGCTCTACTATTATAATACTTTAACCTAGCTTTACTTATTTAAATTAAAACTAATACCTCTAAAGAGGGTATAGCTAGTATACTCTCTTAATTAGATAAATAAAGAAGATAGTATCTAATTATCTTTTAGTTAAGAAAGTTTATAGGAGCTAAGCTTAACTAAGCTATACTAGATAAGGAACTCTTTACTATTATTTATTTCTTTAAATACTAGTATTAGTATATTAAAGAGGTAGTACACTAAGTAAAAATGCTTTTAAATTATATAAATTTATAGATATTTATAAAATAACTAAAATTAAATAGTAGATAAGTCTATTAGCTTATCTTATTAATACTATATAATTTTATTATTAAGTATTAAAAGGGAAAGGCTAATCCTATAGATATATCTATAAGATAATATAATAGTTAGCTAGTAGTGCAGCTAAAGAATRCTAATATTATTATATTAATCTATTAGTAAATAGTTAGTATACAGTTCCTAAGGACATTATATTAAGTAGACTATAAACTAGAGCTAAGTAATATACTATTAAAGCTCTATAATTATAGAAATTATATATCTAAGTAAGATATTATATACTAGAATAATCTAAAGAGATTAATAAATAATTAATTAATCTCTTATACTTTTATTAAAGCAGCTACTTATAATAAGAATATCTATTTAATTAATATTATAAAAAATCTAAAAGARTTAATTAGCTAARTCTARAGTAAGGACCCTAAGRTACTTAACTAAACTATTACTATATATAAAGATCTCTCTAGATAAAAGTATTAGGCTATTAACTAAGAAAACTTATTATACTTTAAAGGTAAGCTATTTATACCTAATACTAAGTAACTAAAATAGTATTTAATTAGCTTATACTATAATAAGCCCCTTATAGGGCATTTTAATTAAAATAAAACTAAAGTACTATTAAAATAGAAATTTTATTAGACTAATATATAAAAGGATATTAAATCTTATATTAAGGAATATATAATATATTAAGGAACTATAATTCTAAGGTATAGACTATATAAAAAGCTTAAATTACTACTATTACCCTCCTATCTATTTAGTAAATTATTAATAAACTTTATTATAGGTCTACCTCTAGTACTGTATAAGATAACTATAGTTAATAGTATACTAGTTATTATTAATTAATTTTTAAAGTAG